CATCAACCAGTGCAGGGTTTTCTGGGTCTCAGTGTGGTCACGTCAATATAAAACCATGGTTGTCAAGTCAGATGCAGCTGCACCTGCTGGGATGAAAAAAACATCTTGGTGATAAAAAAGCTCCTTTTCTGCATTTGCATTTTATTGTTTGTGGTGGGTGATGATGGTGTTATGGTGTTACCCTACCCCCACTGCCTTTTCTCACATGAAATGAAAAATTAAACCAACTTAAAACAAATTCTTCTGAGCATTCAAGAACTTCGAGACTCTTTGCTAAGAAGCTGACACACTTGTTTAGTTGGTTTTTTATGCTAGTTGATATATCTGTGAAAGACTAGGCTTATATTCCCATGTGTGGAATTCCATGAAAGTGGCTAGTTTTCTTCTTCTGGGTCTAAAGTTTGATTACAGATTAATATTTCTGCATGAAGTTATATTCCTACATAGAAAGGTGATGCAATTTCTGGGCTGAAGAGGCTGCAGTGGAAGAGGCCAAGACTCTTGAATTTGTTTTAAGGAAATAATTATTTCACTGTACAGCCTGTAACATATATATTCTTATATAGACCTACATATGGCATGTGATGAGTATGTCATAAAATTTCTCAGAGAGAGAAGAGTCATTATTTTTAGATCATAGAATCGCTGAGGTTGGAAGGGACCTTTAAGATCATCAAGTCCAACCATTAACCTACCCTGACAAAACCACTTCTAAACCATGTCCCCAGGTACTGCATCTACCCTTTTTTTAAACACCTCCAGGGATGCCAAATCCACCACCTCCCTGGGCAGCCTATTCCAACATTTAGTAACCCTTTTAGTGAAAAAAATTGTTCCTAATATCTAATCTAAACCTCATCTGACATGACTTGAACCCATTTCGTCTCGTCCTATCACTTGTCAGCAGGGAGAAGAGGTCAGCCCCCACTTCTCTACAACCCCCTTTCAGGTAGTTGTAGAGAATGATAAGGTCTCCCCTCAGCCTCCTCTTCTCCAGGCTAAACAACCCCAGGTCCCTCAGTCTTTCCTCATAAGACTTGTGCTCCAGACCCCGCACCAGCTTTGTAGCCCTTCTCTGGACACAGTCCAACACCTCAGTGTCCTTCTTGTAGTGAGAGGCCCAAAACTGAACATAGTACTCGAGGTGGGGCCTCACCAGTGCCGAGTACAGGGGGACTATCACTTCCCCAGTCCTGCTCACCACACTATTCCTGATACAGGCTAGGATGCCGTTGGCCTTCTTGGGCACCTGGGCCAACTGCCGGCTCATATTCAGCCAGCTGTCCACTGTCACCCCCAGGTCCTTTTCTGCCAGGCAGCTTTCCAGCCACTCTTCCCCAAGCCTGTAGCTCTGCATGAGGTTGTTGTGACCCAAGTGCAGGACCCGGCACTTGGCCTTGTTGAACCTCATACCATTGGCCTCTGCCCATCAGTCCAGCCTGTCCAGATCCCTCTGTAGAGCCATCCTACCCTCAAGCAGATCAACATGCCTGCCTAGCTTAGTGTCTTCTGCAAAGTTACTGAGGGTGCATTCGATCCCCTCATCCAGATCATCGATAAAGATATTAAAGAGAACTGGCCCCAGCACCAAGCCCTGGGGGACACCACTTGTGACCAGACACCAACTGGATTTAACTCCATTCACCACCACTCTGGGCGCGGCCATTCAGCCAGTTTTTTACCCAGCAAAGAGTACACCTGTCCAGGCCATGAGCAGCCAGTTTCTCCAGGAGAATTGTAATGCTATTCATTGTAAGCAGCAGGCCATAATTAGATTATCTTGATATAGTCAGTCCTGTCACTCTAACTTGCATGTGCTGTTACTAAGAGAGTTCACCTGAGTAATTGGATAACAGGTCTGGTATTCTGTTGTGGTTATGTTAACAGATAAGTTATAAAGATTCAAATGCTGTTACTCACTTTGGTACTTAAAAGCATGTTACATCCACGAGTACAATTGTTGCAGATTTATATGATCATGGTCATAAAAATTATTAGATTATTCTAATAATCTTGTTTAACTATTTTGATATCTAATAACCTGTAATAGTCAAGTAACAACTCATCAGACCATATACTAACAATTTACTAGTCCATGATAAGCTCTGTGTGTGTCTTTGATATGAATTTTTATTCAGTATCAATCTGAGAAATAACAAAATCAATTACCTATCTGGAATGGTTCTATGCTCCTTAAAAGATCCATTCTATTCCATATGTATTTCTTTCTGAATAAGGAAAAGTGCACCTGCATATTTTATCATTTCATTCATTCATTTAATGCAACTGAAAGGGAAAGCCATGTACTACCTCACAGGTTCTTTGATCTGAGAGTTTAGTGCATAAGTAGAGCAACACAAAAGTACTTGGACCATTGAGTCTGTACAACTTACACGTACAGACAGCCTGAGAGTCCGTACCTTTCTACTTTTTTTTTTTTTTGACTGCTCTTTTGATCTGTGTGTAGCTTTTTGACTCATTTGTAGAATCTTTTGTGGAAACATGGTTCATACATTAAAAGATTCCAATTTAAAACTTACTTCATAAAATTCAAATCTTTCCCAAAGAAGTATTTTTTCCAAAAACTAGTCAATTTTCTATGAAAGAATATTACCAGATTTTTCCCATTTCCATGGATGGAGATATGAAAGCTTACCATTTCAGCCGTAGCATATTTTAGGTAAAGGTGTTTTAAAAGTCACAAAGGATTTTTGTCTCTTCCTCCCAAAATTACTTAAAAGAATGATGCAATATTAATATGGAAATCTGACAGCAATTTAAAATTCTAAAACATGACAAATGAACACCCTTAAACAAAAAATGCTATGGGAATTATTGGACTAATTACAGTAAAAATAAACATCAACTTGTGTTTCTATGTATGTGAATGGAAGCCCAGTGAATACAGAATTTACAAAATAATTGCACAGTACTTACATAATACTATATAATTTAGTTGTCACAATGGCAAAGAGGAATATTGCTGCCTTGAGGGATTGACAGGGCGTTTAGAAAGTAATACATTAGTTATCAGGAAAATGCAGTATGACAATTTGACTAACTGTTGGAAATAACCTACATAATAACTTAAATTGCACATACCCACATGCAAACAGTGAGTAATAAATGTGTAATAATTTCTACCCTTTCAGTAAATGATGTGTGCCATGTGTTTGTGAGATTTGCTGTATTCAAACAACTGATTTAACAGTGACGTGAAGCAGGCCAATTCTGCTGGCAGAATATGTATATACACGCATATAGACACACACATACAGAGGCAAAGAACTGCATCAGAAGAAAATCTCACCCAATTATCAGTGAAAATGAGGCCTAAATATATATCTATATTTTACTTTAATATTATCAACACTAATAGAAAAGATTACTATTGTAAGTATTCATTTAAAATGGAAAAAGGCTGCACAAATTAGAGTGTGAAAATCAGCTTTGGGCTGAGTCCTATAAAGGAAAGGTACACCAGACATGCAGGTCCATACAGGTCCTGTTGCAGTAAGTGTGGATTCACAGGACCTGATGCTTCTGACTGACCAAATATTTCAGCAAGAAGTATGGCATTTTATTCCCATTTTATACTTGCATAGTGATTTTTACCAGAAATTGAGACATACTCACATTGCTACAAAGGTATCCCGCTTTCCCAATGTTTGATGAACTTCACAAGCTTTTGAGAACAAAGCTTGAAATTAGCTTAGAAAATAAGAGTAAAGAATCAAGCAAGTATAAAATATGGTAACATTTTTGTAGTCTAATACTAGATTTTTCTCTGGTTTATGGAAAAAGGTTTTAAATTTTATTCTATTTATTCTATTCTGTTTTATGGAAAAGGGTTTTAAAGGGATTTTCTAGTGTAGAGATCTTATTTTATGAAAAATATTTAAGCATAGCTATTACCAGTGCAGTTTTCATACATAAAGACCGAATTAAAATAGTGATAAATATATACATATGTATATGTGTGTGTATATGCATATATAAAAAAATATACATACATATATGTGTATATGTGCATGTATCTATATAGAAATACATATACATACATATATATGGGTGTATATGTATATGTATTTTTTAAAGCTGAGCTGTGCCATTTTATTGGAGGCAACAGTCTTGTGAGCACTGAATAAAAGTGCAAATTCTCTTGTGTCTTTCCAAAATCTTATTAATAAATTCCAGTTTTAGGTAATAAAATCTCTGGCCAGTCCTCTTTCCCCTTCCCCATGGGATTAGCATCACATTGCAGCCTCTGAACTGGGCCCATGTCCTAGAAATTATTGTAATCCAGGCCTAAGCTCCAACCTCTTCACCCAAGACCTAGCTAATTAAATTGTGGTAATGTTGTTGGTTAGATTAAACCATCAGATGCCATTAGTCTCTCAGTTTTACCCAAACTCAATTCTGTCAAGAGTTTGAAGAGAATAATACCTTGGTCATTTCAGGATTGAGACCAATGTCTCTGTTTCATTTTATTTCCTCATAAGAAGTCACGTATATTGAATCGCTAATATTGTCTCAGTCACTTCATACTTTTTATTGCTTTTAAGCCCCTTTTAATTATTCCAATCCAAAGCCAAAAATAAATGTTACAGAAATTTTCTAACTTACCAGTTGTTTGTATTTACATCATGCTGTTAAAACAATGGATATGCTGTATTGTATGTAAGACACGTGTCCCAAGACAAATGAATCCTATTAAACAATATTAGCAATTTCTTTTTTTTGCAATGAATTCTCTTTCCATTCTTTTTCACGTTATGACAAATTAGGCCATGTAAAGAATCTCTTCCATCAAGTAACAAGAACAAGAAACCATTGAATGGGCTTGAAATATGTGTGGGTAAACCATCATGAGTAATGTTATGTAAAGGCCAAGATAGATGAACTGGCTAATTAGTATGTCATTCAATAGTTTGCAGACTTGGAGGCTTAGCTCCCCATATAAAATGGTTCACTTAGAATAATATCTTGATTTATTTTAGGCTATTTGATCATTCCATGGAAGGGTTCAAAAACTGGGAGTTTATGACTACTCACTGCTGGAGTGAAAAAGCAGCAGGTGACTGGATCTTGGAAATCTGTGACACTCCATCTCAGCTGAGAAATTTCAAGACTCCAGGTATGACTCTAACCTTTATTTGGGCTCAGCGAATTCAGAAGAATGCTTGCAGTTGCTAATACTGCCTTGACTGTTTTCCACCTTTTATTTACAGCAGGAACATCTCACCGGTTTTATTATGAAGGCAGAGCTGTGAAGAGCATTATTGTTAATTTCAGTTATCAGTGCACTCTGCATTTTTATGTTGCTGTTGTTTGCCATTTAAGACACGTGGTTCTCTTATTCTGAACTTACTTGTGGTTTCCATGGAAAATGTCATCTTCTCAGGGGTAAACTGCCCTCTTTCTTGCAGTCATGTGTGTTGCCTCGAAGTATAAAAACAGAGCTGCGTCAGACCAGACATGAATTCTTCAAGCAGAGACAGACCCCTGTACCGTCTGACAGGTTACCAAGAGTCAGTGCTTTAAACAAAGCCAAGTCTTTACTAGGCACAGTTTTCAAGGAAAAAGACACAAGTGCAACATTTGAAAGCAGTTGTAGTATCTCTATATGCAGGCTTCTGTTTTCTTGGATCTTAAATATAGACTTAACAGATATAAGTTAGAGCAGCCCAGAGTTACTCTGCAATATTCCTACTGCCTGTCACTTTCATGGCTTATATAGGGCCCATATTTACTTGGCCTGTATCAGCTGTATAGGGCCCAGGGATTTATTTTCATGTTGTTTTTCTTTGCTTTGGTTTTGGGTTTTTTTTTAATCCAACCCATAAGAAAAAGTGTTATGTATCAGTGCTTACAGAACTAGAAGATCCCACTCTACAAGAGAAAGACATTCAGAGCTTGCTACCACTGGTAGGTTGCATCGTGCTCCTGTGTGTATGGGCAGAGTTCTCAGACCTGGCATTCGTCCACTCACAAACTGTGCTCCTAGTAAGAATTTTTGAGGCTGCAGATGTTCTGCTTTTAATTCCCACTGCACAGTTCAGTTTCATTCACATATTTCAGTATGAGCACGTTGAAAGAAATGGAGATTGAGAGAAGGGCTTCCAAAGAGACTCACGGGAGTACATGCTTACTTCTATTTGCTGGTTATGAGAGATGAGTATATACTTGCCTTTGGACTTACTCAAAATTTAAACCTTAAAACCCATTTTGAAATAGATACATTATACACAGACAAAAATACCACTGTTTATGCATGAATACTGAATATAGTCCTCCCTTTGGAGCCCCACATCAAAGTAGGTAGAAACCCTTTAATAAAAATAACGAAAGATGAAATATCACTTAAAAAATAATCTAGATTAAAACATGTTAGAGAGGCAAATACTACTGATGTATTAGAAAATATTTATCACTAAATCTAAATTAACACTCTGATTGGATAGCATGTCAGAATGCAATAGTATTACATTGGAAGTGACAAATCTAGTTGATTACTGCTTTCTGATAGATAAAAACTAATTATAAGAATTCTGCTATGAAATGTATTTAGGACTACAATGACATTAGCAATAGAATTAGTTTATAATTCAGTGAAATGAAAGATACATTCCATCTCAGGCAGCTAAGTAAACTCACAAAGCAGTAAGAGTTTTCTATCTGATTTTCTAAAAATCAATTCCAAATTTTAAGACATAGATGTTAACTTAAAGTACTTGGAGTTATAAAAATATGTCCTTGTGAACTTAACAATAGGGGATTTTTAAGTATATTTGTTCCTGAATTAGTAGGTTATTGGAAGTCACTAAAACTGTTCAAATGAGCCTTGCTAAGTATAAGTACTTCTATTGTTTCTACTACATGAAAAAGCACACATAAAGAAACATTGACTAAAATACAAACTGAAGTGCTTAAAAGCTTTGAGATTAAAACAAGAAGGGCTAGCGCAATAGGGCACGTGCGTGTAGTTGACTGTTCTAGAAGAATGTTAATTTTTCAATTCTACTTTGTCCAAGAAAGGCTCGTTAGTGTTTCTGCCACCGAATTTGGGGATGTAATACTTTGTCTTCCTCTTGGTTGAAATTCAGTTTGCTAAATTATTCAGATTGGAATGAAGGTTATGTGCAGTTCACCTGTTCAAGGTAAATGTGCCTTTCTGGGAGGTCAGCTGACCCAATCACTCCTGCAGCTTACAAACTCAGTAAGACTACTTCCATCATGACTTAGAGCATGCCAGGGCACAGGAGGAATTCTAGCATGTGAACGCAGAGTTGTCCAGTCTCCTTGCTATTCCAAGCGGCGCATAGGCCAAGCTCAGTTGAGTTTATACATTTCACTTGGGACAAAAATGAACCCTCTCATTTCAAAATTAGGACAAAACGGAAATGCAGATTTTATGCTGCTTAGATATTTTTCTGTCTGAAAAATCTAACACAGAGATCAGCCTCACTCCACTACTGTTGAAATTGATGGAATTGAATGAGAATTTTAGTTCTTTATTTCTGGTCTTCATTAGCTGAGTTATGTTCTTTTTAATGCAGCAGATGGCCGGATAGCCAGTCTCTCTGCTTTTTTAAAAAGTTGCGCTGCCTGTCTGGCCATCAAATCATATTCTGTTATTGCCTGTCTCAGTTGTCTGCATAATATGAATTTCTTTTTAGGATGCTAAAGCAGCAGTCATATGCCAAAGTTTTTACAACATGTTATATATTATGAGGCTAATAAGTTCCTATTGAAGACCAAGATAATCAGTGTGATTTTCAAAATTGCTGAGCAGAGAAAAACTTTTTATTAAAGTCTGTGGTAACTCTAGGGTGCCAGTGTCATTTAAATGTCAGCTATATACTCAAGTGGTTAATTTTAAGCACAGCATTTTAAGAATATTGATTATCATCCTCTAGAGATCTGAAAGGAAAAACCAGCATTGCCAGTGTTCCGATTTTCACTTCCTTTTATCTGGACTTATCACTTCTCACCATGGTTTTGCAGTGGTAAAAGGTTCTTAGCCTTCTCTTCTTTTATTTCTAGACGTTAATTGCACCAGTAACTGCAGAATAAAGTTTCCAGTACACTAAAAAGGGGTATTCAGTAAATGTCTTTGGAAAAGCAGTATAGACCATAGACTATGAGCAGAACTGTTCAGAGATTCAGGGGGATGTTTGGGGTTTGGGGTTTTTTTCAATATTCAGTGGTTTATAATTTGATAGAGGGGAGGTATCAAAGCACAACTAAGTAATTTAATTTTGATCAGATTACTGAAAAGGGACAAAAATCAATGATTTTCAGCTCCATCTTTCAGTTGTTATTCCTAATGCAGCCAAGAGCATCTCTGGATTGAAGGACAAGTTAGGACAGCACTTCACCTTTGTGCATACCGGAACCCAGTGGTTCATCCAACAGGAATGAAGGAGATCCATAGCACCATTCAGCTGTTCCCCTCTTCTCTCTTCCCTGGCACACTCCCTGTACTAAAGCCTAGAAAAGAGCCATGGAGCCATTTTGCAAACTGTTCATTCGGGCTATTCTTCAGACATCTTTTACAGCCCTTTTATGTCACCAGGACAGTCTAAAAGTGGCCAACTACATTTCAAGCTTTACACTTTAAAGCATGTTACTGCACACTCCTGTTTTACCTACATAGTTATATAGGTCTTACTGATTTATTGATTTCAATACTTTATATATATTCTTCTCAGTGCTATAGTGGTTAAACTCATGGCATTGGTTTCTTTTGCTCCATGAGGACTAAAGCCTAAAGACACAGCCTTGGAAGAGGGGCAGTAAGGGCAGAGGATGTGGAGAACCTAGATCTGCCCAACCAAGAGATGTAGAGGAAGCTGATGCACTGAAGGAATCCTGCTGGAGCGCTTACTCTTTGCTTTCTTTTAACTGCAACATGAAGCAGTGCTTGAGGCTGGTTAGGTTTTTACATGCATTTGGATTTCACAAGTTGTGATCTGGTTGTGAATTTGGATCCTGGTATGCTATGTAGTAATACGTCCCCCAGATTTCTAGAGAGGTGGTTGCCCTGTGATGGAAGCTGTCTAGTAACACTTCTGTTCAGAAAGATTTGAAAGTGCCTGCCATATATTAGTGGTGGATAAATTCAGCTGTTCGAGCATGTTGGGGTTAGTCTCTGCACTGAACAGAACATGAAGTAAACATAAGGTGCTTAAACACAATTTATGGTGCCTCTCTGGTTTATCACCGTAGCCTGCAGTTTATCACACTGGTATCACCATCATGCCTGTTTCTTGTTTCTGTTGTGTGCGTGTGTTTGTTTAGCTATTGAAAGGTCTTATAATTAAGAGCTGCAGTTTTCCTGTAATCAAATTGAGAACAAAGAGCCAACATGTCATCATATCCCTGCATTGGCAAGGTAATGCCACATCTGTTACCCGTAAAGAAATGCAGGGTCCAGTTCATAAAACTAGTGCATGTGATTTCTGCATTTAATTCTGTCGAGTTTATGGCGGTGGGCATGTGCTTGCTGTGAAACACTGTGATATACCCTTTCTCCTATACATACAATGTGGGACCTCTGTTACATACTAAATACAAGCAGGGTAAAGGATTATTCTAGCCAAACTAAATGATGGAATCAGCCAAAAATGGGGAAAGAAAGATTTTGGCTTAAATGTGCACACTTTGTTTATTCATTATAAAAGTGTGTGTGTATGTATATATACTTAGTTATTGAAATATTTTCATTGTGCAAATTAAACCTGCCTTAAGGCAGACTTCATTTATTTGCTGGCAAGTCACATGAATTTTTCTCCTCTTTATGTACTAAACCATTCTTAAAAGGCAACTAATATCCTAAGAGACCCTGCATTATTCCGTTGCTGCCCTTTTGCATTAAGTGTACATTCAAAGCAGCAATGACAAGAATGAAAAGATCTGAAAAAACTTAGCAAAACACACATTTTTGAGTGCATCCATTATATGATGGTCCATATGCTGTAGAAGTGGGTTTAAACACAAAAAGGACACAGACTGTACATGGAGAAGCTGTAGCTTTGAGAAGGTTGTTGGGATGACTGCATATCTGGTTAAAAATGAGCTTCCTGTGTGACTCCTTTCCTAAAAAGAAAAGTGCCTTTATGGACCCAGCTGAATCACTCTAAAAAACATTGAGAGGTAACTTGATCCCCACATGTCTATACAGGAAGAAAGTAAGTGATTTCAGTCTTTTTAATCTAGTGGGGACCAAAGACCTACATGGCTGTGAGCTAGAGGTAGGAAAAGATAAATTGAAAATAAGGTGCATGCAGTTTTACAGCCAAGGTAATTAGCCAGTAGTTTGGCAACACGTGTGATAGACTCTTCAGGGGTTATTTTTTCAAATCAGGATTTAATGTCTCTTTAAAAATAGTATTCTTTGCTTTAGCTGTGAAAAGTTGGAAGCTACTGTGTGAAAAACTGTCATGTGATGTAGTCTCTTGCCTATAGTTTCTTCTCAAAAACTGAATATGGAGCAGAGAAGGTTTCATATGAAATGTAGACATTTCTGTCTGAGAAAGATTAAATTGGGTTGGCAAGAGACAGAGAGGTAACAGAAATTCCCATCATTAACCCCAGTATAAACTATTTAAAGGAACTGGGCTGTCAGGTCATGGTTTTGCTTATTGTTGCTTACTGCTTGAAGGACAAATGTCAAAGCAGAGTATTGTCTTGGTCACGTCAATGGAGGATACCAGATGACATTGGGGAAAATACAGAAAATCACTTTGTAAAGGTCAAAGTAATTTACTTGCACAGGTTGAAAACGTCCAAGTGAACAATATGAACGCTCAAATTATTGACTATCATTAAAATGGAAGAAGAGGAAGACTGCTTGAATTTAATTTTACATGAAGTATATTAAATGATTTTCTTGAGAAAAGACATACCTGGATTGCATATCTTTTTAAATAACAGTTCTAAGGGAAAAGTATTTTAACCACAAAACAGCATCCAAAACAGGATCTTTCAGAAAAGAAATAGTCGCTGCTCCTCTGTTTCCTTTCTCTTCTGATGAGAATTTGACATTTACAACTAGCTACTCCAACATAGATAAATATAATCAAGAGAATAGGATGAGACCAAACTTATGTTCCGTCTTTTCAAACAGGGATGTGTTCTTTATGCATCTTTACTTTAGGCATCATTTCAGGCTGGAGTCCTTTTGCTCTGTCACAGAATTAATTCGCAGGCTAGTATAGACAGAACAGTGGGGACTGGAAGTTCATGCTTTGTTTCCTGACAGCCTGAACTGATGACTTGATATACATTTGTCTTTTTATTTTTCCACAATAAAAACTTGCCAAAAAGTCAGATAATGCTTCAGGCAGGCAAACAATTTTTTCTTTCTTCACTCAAATATTGGGAGGATAGAGTATTAGTGATGAACACAGACAATGCAGTGATATATCTGCCAAATAACTAGGGTAAATAAATAAGAAGTTGTGCTGGTTTGGGAGGGGACGCTGATGTTCTACCATGGAGATTTTAAAAGAATTTTTTCATGTTCATCGAGATGTGTCCTGTAAGCCAATGAAAAGTACTCTTCAGTAATAATCAAAATGTAATCCCTTTCTTAAGTAAGAATTCTGAAGAGAATAGAATTTTGAATAGCTAGTTAGCTAAAAGATCTTGAGTAATAATTACTGGATAATTAATGTTCTGAGGGAAAGTGAAATCCAGAGCAAAAACTCCTTGTTGAGTAGCATATGCATTTTCCAAATAACTGTATGGCCAAAGGTTTTGTTGTTTATATTTAGTTCAACCCGTGGTGCAAACTTTTACTAGACCTACAAGAGACTGCAGCACAATGCAAATACTGTGTAAAAACCTGATTGAAGAAAGTATGCTTTCTCAGTTTATAGTGAAGCAGCAGTTGAACTATCTGTATTAAACTGAAGACACTTATTTGAAAAGCAATGTCTCCCATACTTATTCACAAAATCATGTTTACAAGTGATACATTTTTGTAAGACACAGAAATTAGAAATGGTTTCTAAAACTAGATTTTAAAAACTTCCAGGCAAATTGAAAGAGTGGTCCTTAGTACTGTATGGAACTTCCATCCAGCCTTACTTTAACAGATGACTATTCAGGTAAGTACATTCATTTACTCTGATTGTGCATTTACTGAACACACAATAGGTTGAAGGAATTTCCTAAGACTCTGCATATGTAAATTGTTCAGTGAAGCAGATTCTTAATTTAGGATCAGAACTATTTGTTTCATAATTTAAAGTTAGATATTTTCATTTCATCCTTATGCGTTTGTAAGCAGTTATATATTTTTAAGCTACACTTGACATACTATGAAGAATGCAGTGCTTGTAATATAAGTATATAAATATATACATGCATTCATATATGTACAACGAACATTATCTTCTATATCTATGTTGTTTCTCACTGATCCCTATAGAAGTTTTCAACCTTATCATTAGACTTTAATAGAGTTATATTTTTGGCACTGCAAAATAAGTCAAGTTGCAAGTTTCCTATGTTTACTCCAACATTAATAGGTGATTAATGCTGATGAATCTTAAGTATAGCTCCAGCAAGCAAACAGCAGGACAAAGTTCAATTTAGAAGTTTCTGTTATTACAGTCTCCTGCCACAGCATGTCAGACCCACAGTCCCTATTTTAGATTGAGAGCTGCTGAACTCATTTTGATAGGTAATGAAACACTACAATCTCTGCTGTAAAGGTCACTGTTCTTAAGCTTCTGTATGAAGCAAACTCACTTTACTTCAAATTTACCTGATGTTAGGAGAAGTTCAAGGTGGTGGGCAACCTCAACGTGTTTCATTCACAAGGGAGCAGTGATTCTGAAAGTTATGCTCCGTTCACCTACATAAGGGCAGGAGTTGATGGTTCTCTCCTCCTGTAGCAGGAAGGACTTATTTAAAAACTGTAAACATAGAATCATAGAATATCTCAAGCTCAAAGGGACCTATAAGGATCATTGAGTCCAATGTGAGTGTTGGTGAGATGGAAGACTTGCTGATCAGCAAGTATCAGCTGAGCCTTTTGCAGCATGTAGTAGCACAGAGGGAAGCATATCTGGGCCCTGGTGGCTGGTTCACTTGGGTTGCAGTAGCCACTTGGACCAGTTGCAGTAGCCACTTGGACCAGTTGTTACCCAGTTGGTAACCATAGTAGCCACTGATCATGTTCATCATTTATGTTCACCTGCTTGTTGTAAGTGATTTTGCTAGTAATTCCTTATTATGAATTACAGAGGCCTTTGCACATTTTTGAATAAAATTCAGAATCATAGAATGGTTTAGGTTGGAAGGGACCTTGAAGATCATTGAGTTCCAACCCCCCTGCCATGGGCAGGGACACCTCCCACTAGACCAGGTTGCCCAAGGCCACGTCCAGCCTGGCTTTGAACACCTCCAGGAATGGGGCCTCAACAACTTCTCTGGGCAACCTGTTCCAGTGCCTCACCACCCTTCTTAATGTGAAAAACTTCTTCCTAATGTTTAATCTAAACCTGCCCTCTTCCAGTTTATAGCCCCCTCATCCTATCACTACATGCCCGAGTAAAAAGTCCTTCCCCTGCTCTCAAGCATGATTTGCTACTCATTAGGAAAGCATCTGTTTGGATCCAGAAATAGTTTCCCTTTGTTAGATTCTACAGAGGATCCCACACTTGCTAAAAATTATAAATCACTGTGAATAAATACCGTGGCCAGGATTTCCAAGGTCCTCATGTACTAAAAATCTTCTCTTTTTGGTGGAGCCAAATTGCTATTTGGAATTCAAATCAAACGGGAAACAGAGTAATTGCATTCTGCATTAAAATACTATGTTTGAAGGGGTGGTAGGAACTAAATGAGAAGTTTTAATCCCTACCCCCTGCCTGTATTCTGGTTTTATTACAGGTCCCTGCAATGCAGAATGCAGTAAAGTAGGGTGTGATGGGCCAGGACCAGATCATTGTACTGACTGTCTGCACTACTACTACAAATCTAAGAACAACACACGGTAAGACCAAGAGAAAAAATCTTTACTCCATAGATTTCTTAGTGTACATTTTAACTTCCTTTGCTCTTCTTTTTGCTGCAGTCATGGAAAATTCATTTTCCACTGAATTTGACAAATTTTCTTAGGAGTTGGAAAAAAAAAGGACTTAGCTAATCAGAATTTAAACTACAGCCTTCAAACACCCTTCTTTGTTTATTTCCCCATGTCTCGATTATTTTTTCGTAAGAGGCTATATACATATGTGTATATATATCTATAAAAAACTGTGATAGCTACTACGGCTTCTGTGATTGAGTTTGAACAAGATAGGAAGAAATGTAGATGGTCAAAAATGATACTGTATGACTGTCTAACAAAACAGTTGCCAGTCAGATAGCATTTGCTGTAGGGAACTAAATGGAAGAGGCAGCTTGATGCAATGCTTTGGAGGGTTACATCTTAGTAAACATGTGATCATTAGAAAAACAGCAATGCTGAGAAATACTTCTGCTTTGCAGTCATGGTCCAGGAATGTGGTGGCAGGTTATTTCATTAACGACTCTGCCTTCTCTTCCCTGCTGTCTGCAGGATCTGTGTTTCGACCTGCCCACCTGGTCACTACAATGCAGACAAGAAACGCTGTAAAAAATGCTCACCCAATTGTGAAACCTGTGTTGGAGGCCATAGTGACCAGTGCATGACCTGTAAATCTGGCTACTACCTGAATGAAGTAACCAATAGCTGTATTACCAACTGCCCTGATGGGTTTTACCTGGATAAGAGTTAGTATTTCTTGTTGTTTCTTTATTGTGGGCTACAGAATTTGATCTGGGGAGGTTGCTGGAATACTTACGAGCAGGAAAAGTGTATTTTGATGCATCTATCTCTTATCCTATTCCTCTTATTAAATTGTTGCCAAGTGTGATGTAGAAGCTCCTCAAATATCTTCCCTTATTTTAAAAACCATGCTTAGTGGCAGGGCGTCTCTTTGCTTGTGGCTGGGAATAGCATTAGCAGAACAAGGGCAGTTCAAGAGCAAGTAAGCTGCAGGACAGAGCAGGTTATAACTACCGCAGAAAGGGACAGGCAGCAGCCACATTCTGAACATGAGGCATTCCGCATTCCCCCAAATTCAAACAATATGGCACCAGATAGAAGAGAGAGCTGAGGAATCAGCCATGGCCACTGAACTGGAGCTCTAAGAAAAACAGGGTCCTCATGGTTGCAATTAATGTTTCTGGCAGACCTAAGTACCTGCAGTGATGTGACAACCCGAGAGCAGTAATATTCTGCCATGTGAGGCACCTGCCTTCAGTTTCCTCCTGTGATTGCCAAGTAGACTGCCCATGTTTATTTTCCAGCTTTGGTTAACAAAAATGCTTAGGCATATATTCAAACATGCTTACAACTGCAGTGACTTCAGTTATCTTTAGACACTTAGAAGTGTCTAAAGATAGACACTTAGAAGATAAACATGTGCTCAGGAGCTTTGTTCATCTAGGTAGCTAACCTTTTGCTTTCTGCATCATGAAGCTGTGTGTTCATTTTTGAGAACTGGTAAAAACAGGTACTACTTTAATTCTTCCATTTTTCACTCTGGGAGAACTACTGTAAAGGGAATTCCTTTCCACCCAATTAAGATGGATAGATGAAAATTTAGGATCAAAGAGGAACATCAGTTTTTTCTTCTCAGAAAAGTACATGGCACTGCATCTCAAAAGGCACCGGGTCTGAAGAGACAGAGGCATCTCTTAAAGTAGGGAGCTCTTGGGATGAAAAGGCAGGTGTTAAGTAATTTAGGTGTTGACTTTGTTAAGATCAGACTTGTTCATGCAGGTGTGTCTTTAGGTTCCAAATCAGGAAGACAAAACAGGCTACTTGCATGGGAAGTGTAAGAGGTAAATTGCAGGACAGTCTCTGGAACACATGGCAATAGTTGCTGCATATAAGTGCTATATGAAAAGACAATTTTAGTCCATATTGTAAGTGGTTAATGTAAATTTAAAAAGGTTATGAACATTTTTTAATGACCTCAAAGCATGTTTTTCTCACAACTACAACTGCAAATGTTTAGAAATAGATTAAATCATTTGATGTTTGATGGAAAATGCTATGTTAGGCAGAATGTAGCTATTTTAGTCTAGCTTGCTGCTTCCCTCCCTGACGTTAAGCTAGAAATCAATAAGTCGTGTAATAGTTATATCCATATAGTTTTATTAAACATAACTGACCAAGGTTTTCTGGGCTGTTTTCTTTTTTTGCTTTCTAGATAAGATTGTTTGCCGAAAATGTAGTGAAAACTGTAAGACATGTGTTGAATACCAAATCTGCACAGAATGCAAACATGGCCTAAGGTAAGGAAATGATGGATGTCACTAAACACAATACCTGAAGAGGCTTACAAGACTGTGGATGCACAATGAAGAACATCAGATAGCTATTTAACCTTGAGTGGCCCTCATTTCATGTGTTCCATTGCTGTTTAGTTTGCAATGTAGTATTTTCTTGTGCTACTGTGTGCCAGTTTGGCAAACAAGGGATTTTTTTTAAGACCTTTCATTTCAGGTAAAATAAAAGCCACAGTCACGTGGAAAGCTGGCTTCTTCACTTTTTTGACCTTCAGTGTGGCAGTCAAGGATTATTTTAGAGGTAGAGCTGATGAATCATATTAATCTTTCTGATTCATTCCTGTGATAGTTAGAAACTATTTTCTTATCTTTATTGTATTTCTTCATACATCCAGTCATTCACTTATCTCAAGTACCTCAGGCTCAATTCTATTACAATATAGTGTGCACATATTTTAAACAGCAGTGGATATTTTTTCTTCATAGGGGGACTTAATCATTCTTGAAACTGATAGATAAAACCTACAAAGCAGCAGTACACATTTCAAGCTCCTTTATGAATGAATGACCTTTTGATCCAAGCAGCAAAGGTCAAGAATCTTATAAAATTCATGACTGAATGTATGCTGGCTTTATGCCACAAAAAATATGAAGTCAGTATTCAGTACCTGTAGGGGTTCTTCTTGCAGAATGTGAGTGTTCTGCAAATGTTTCAACACTGGACTTTTACCTTCCATCAAAGTGGATTTTCATCTTTTAGTTAGTAAAAGCTGAATGTTGTTTGTTTCTAGGACATCAGTAGCTGGATTCCTTTGCATTTTGTAAAGGAATTCTCATTTCTGTGTATTTGTGTTACATCTAGATTTTCCAAGTGCCTGCCCAATTTTTATTACGAATTTCTCTATTTTTTTAAAAGCAACCCTTTGAAAAGGAAGTGTGATCTAGTGGGAAGGAAAGCATGGGATCAGATCAGAATATTGGTGTATTTACACTCTCTGTGAAATACAAGCATCTTCTTCCCATTTAAAATGTTATTAAACTTGCAGTCCATGTTAAGATTTTGGAGAATTTTAACAGACTCAGCATGAGACCTTCTGTGCATCTGCAAAATCAAATTAGTAAATTAGCAGTTTAGAATTGTCTACAATGGGCAAATATGTCAGGAGACCAAAGATTACATAGATTTCAGACCTTACAGGACACAGTTTCTATAGAAAAGCTATGCCCACATTTTCTTTATTGCTCAGGAGCTGAGTTTCCCTGTCCATTAACACAAACAGCAGCTTGTAGCACCACTGAAGAAAGCAGACAAGTCCATTCAGTATGAGAAGGAGAAACTGAAATATAAAAAATCAAAAGAACCCAAACTTCATGTTTTCTTAGGCAATATTAGCAACCTGAGATGATTGATTTTTGGTAATGTTCTGAAAAAGCACCATCTGTGTGGGTGTGACAGATCAATGGAGCCTTGCAGGACATGCATTTCATATTCCCCAGTTGTTCGAATTTGCTGCATTTTCTTGGCAGAGTTATCAGTGGGCAGGGCCTTCTGGGGGTACTTGGGAGACCTGGATTCCAGTTCTGATCCTGTTACTGGCCCGTCAAATAAACCTGGGCAAATTATTAGTTTTCCCATCTGTAAAAACATGATAATGATGCCTGCCTTGTGAAGCACTTTGAGGTGAGTGACCAAGGAAAAATAATAAGACAACAGGGATTGTTAGATTTGTTGAATGGCTAATTTAGTTTTATTCTAAACTGGGACCATATACTCTCTTGAAAATTTCCAGTGGTGCAGAGCACACATGACTTTTGCTGGATCAAATCTGTGAAACAGGGTTAGCACTCACTCAGAGGGGTAATCCCCAGAGAAAAGGAGCATTTTTAGATTTAAATTGGATGAAAGCTGAGGTTCCACAGAAGAGGGTAAACATTGCAGAGAAGTACTGGCTTGAAAAAAAAAACCAAAACACAAACCTGTAGGCACCTTATTATATGAAAGCATAAACAGCTACTTAGAGGGAAGAATGGAAATGTGACTCTTTATGCTATTTCTTTTTCCCCTGTTACTCACTTTTATGCTCTTTCTAAAAAGTGCCTGTGGGCAGAGTACCTCTGACTGTAATCTTGACAAATCTCCCCAGCCACTCAGAACTGGCATTCAGTTAGGGGTTTTCAACGGAAACTGCTATTGCAGAAAGAGGTGGTGATTTCCATCACTGTGAATCTATTCTGTGCTGTAGCACAGTATCAGGAGATGCTGCTGGTCTTTCAAGAGAAGCATGAGATCTTGTTAACAAGTCCCTTAGCATTTTTTTTTAGTACAGTGGTGCTGACCTTGTGCCAAATTCCTCGTGGGTAATTGCATTTTACATGCCTGGATTTTTAGTACTCTGGCATTGTTCGTTTTTTTATGTCGCCTACTACTTGGTGGTATTTACAATGAGTTTGTAAACAGCTTCTGTATTTCACCATGGACAAAACTGCGTTTCATTCCCACTTGAAGTGATTCCTCTCTCTATATTTTTTAAATATGACCAATGAGCGAAGCTGGTGAATCCTAATATATGGGTTGTTCTTTTATTTAAAGAGAGTACTGGTTTGAGCATGACCTTGTTGTCCTCTGTTGCTATTATCTGCCCAAACAGTGTGCTTTTTTCCTTTTTACAATAGTTTGCATGGCACTAAATGTGCTATCCGCTGTGAAGAAGGAAAATACCATAATGGTAGAGAATGTGAACCGTGTCACCGTTCCTGTGCGACGTGTGCAGGTACCCAACTGACATTTATCGGCATCATTTCTTTTCCTTTATATTTTTAGCTCTGATTTTATTCCGCTATATCACAGTTACAGTATAACGTGATTGCTGACATGCAAAAACTTAATTCTTTTGATAGTTCTTTACTGTATTTTAAATACAGCAGACTTTTTTCAGCTACCATGAAAATCTGAGTTTTAGAATTGAAAGTGTGCATACGCTCTTTTCTTTCTCCTTTTCTTTTTTCTTTTTTTTTTTATTTTCTTTTTTTTCCTCTTAGTAGAGCTCATCCTGATTTCCAGTAATGCCTTCCATTTTCTTTCTGGGATGGAATGATGACCAATAGATTTTGTGCGAGATTTAGAACTACCAACAGCCATTTCTTTCAGAAAAAGATGTACTGAAATTATGTAATGTTGTTTATTCTAACCATGTACCTTTATTGCTTGATGTTACTGTTTGAAAGAAAATAAGGCAGGTAAAACATAGTCTCTAAAAATTATAAGGTTTTGCTACAGTTGGAGGTGGTGCCTGTTAGACAATAAATGGAACTAGCCAGTAATACAGTATATTTTCTCTTTGGTTTAAGGTGCTGGAGTAGATGCCTGTATAAACTGCACGCAGGGTTATTTTATGGAAGATGGAAGATGTGTGCAATCCTGTAGTAGTGGTTATTACCTTGATCACTCTACTGAAAGTGGATACAAAAGCTGCAAAAGGTATGATCAGTGGCTGATATATGTCTGATGTTTTGCAGTATATTAGGTATTACTGTGTTGAAAAAGATAATACTTATGAGAACATAAAACACTGCTGACTTAAAAAAAACAGAAAAAATATATTGCATGCTAAGCAAAGGAAGGAAAAACTTTTTTTTTTTTAAATTTTAATCTGAATTATATTCATGCAGGTCTTATAAAAGTGTTTATTCTTGTACATATAAGTGTGTCCTTCACTTTAAAAAAAAAAAAAAAGCCTGTAGTGAGAATCTAAGTAGAAATGCATAGAAATGTAAAATTTAGAAATCTGGCAGAGGATCAGCATTTCTCAGTAACAAATGAAAACAGTCAAACTAGTTGCAAGTTAATTACTATTCATCAGGACCATTTCAGTTCTTCAGCTTCATATTCACAAACATGGCACAAGTATATTACCAGACTGCTGTCCAGAATAGTTGACCTGACTCAGTGTACAAATGAGTGGCTGAATCTTGGACAAGGCTTTGCTGTGCTGTGCAAGGAAGGGACATTTTTTTCTATTCCATTCTTTATTAAACAAATACCATTTGTTCCCCTTTGGAATCATTTATTATTGACTCACTTTGAGTTCAGGACAGGAAGGGAATCACCATGTGTTATAGTTTTCCACACAAGAAAATAATCGATACACAATGAAAATATGATGGAGCCAGAAGCGTGATAAAAAGGCTGGGCAGCAGGTCAATCTTTTCCATCCTGTGGCTTTAGATTATGCCTTGCTGGCACATGTGTGCACAATCGGCTTGATACTTTTGTTGATTACTTCTGCGTAGTTCCAAAATAGTGGAATAATGCAGCTATTTAGTAAAAAAGTGTGAAGAGACAGTGGTTGGAGGAGAGAAGCAGGACTGGGTTGCAGGGGGGAAGTTAATTATTTTTTATCTTTATTATTATTAAAGCAGCCAATACCTCTAGAAACGGCAAACAAGCCCTTTGCCATGCAGAAGAGGTCTCCTAGGAACTCTTGTATTTGGTGAGGCCATAAGACCAACTCCTGCCATTGTCTTTCAGATGCGATGCCAGCTGTTTGGATTGCAGTGGTCAAGGAGACAGAAACTGTACGAGCTGTCCAAGCGGCTATAACCTAGACACTGGTGTCTGTGTAGTGGGAACAGTCTGCAAGGATGGTGAGTGCAATCCTTTGAAAAGATCTGTTTACCACTACCAGCTCCTTCTTTTACATGTATTGGGTTGGTTTGGTCTGTTTCGTTTCTTTTGTTCCAGTCTTGATTTGAAGTCTACATTACTTCTTAGCTTTTTCAAATTTATGAAAAGGAGAAAACTGTGTTTGCGTGTATTAACAAGATTAGTCACATCCACTTTACCTGAATTTTCCTAAAATAGTTTTCCCCCTGCCAACAACCGACTTTTCCTTATCTGTTTTTCAAAAGCCATTGCTTTCAAATGATTTTTGTATGAAGACACTAGTGTACTATCAATAGAATCACATTTATCTATTTCGCCACTTTAAACTGTGAAAATGCTGGTAAGTAAAAAGGATTTTAAGTGCCTATAGTATTGCTTGAATTATGTGAAAGGGTAATGAGAACAAAAGAACTCTGAAATAGGGAGCACCCAATTTGTGCTGGAGATTTGAACTTCCTCCAAGTTTTCTGGAGCAACCAAGATAACATTCTTACTGCATATGATTGGCTTAATTATTCACTAATATTCATTCCTTTCAAATGTCACAATTACAGAGACGCTTAGATAACATCGTGCTTCTCTAAAAATGTTACTGTGTGAATTACTTGTAGATACAGCCTAGCAAGTGCAGTCCAACTGGAATATCACACACGAGGGCAAAGCCCAGTATTAACTCATGTGGAAGATACCTGACATCAGATGTACAAAAAGCTAACAATAACTCTTGGGTCCAGCTCATTTCTGCTGGATTTATTAAGAGCTTTACCAAAGACTTAAAAAAGAGAAAAAAAGAAAGGGGGCAAGGTTGAGTCTTGTTTCTGTGGACCTTTACAGCTCCTGTTGGAATTTAGGCCTTCAGACTTTGAAAAGTATCCTGTCTGTCATAAAGTTACGTGGCAGGTACTGGGGGACCAGTCATGAGACCTTTTCACATCAGGACATTGGAAGTTTCATTGTAATCTAGAGCAAGTCCAGAGAAGGTCAGATATAGATGAATGAATGAAGAGAAAGTGTTAATGCTAAGAGTTCTGAGTAACCCCAGTCTCAGTATGGTATTGCAGTTGAATTACTCAATGCAAACATTTGACATACTAGTTTGGTCTTTAATATCATTGGATAAATCTGTCTTCATTTGTACACATGCAACTTCAATCAGATACACATGTCGTTGCCCAAGACTGGGGACACCCCATCTGTCCCTCGTTATTGCACGTGCAGCTGCCATGAAAGGGCAACACGTCAGTGTGGGGGTCTTCAGGCAATTGCAACGCACCATGCTGGATCCCACCACACAGCACATGTTCTCAACAGTCTAGGGTCACCAAGGAAAGTCCAGCAGGGTCTTTTTTTTATTTATTTCTGTTAATTTAGAAAGCATAAAGGATCTCATTTCATTGCCTGACAATCAAGCACTGGTTACTAGTCTAGCTCACTCGATAGGATTTGCATTTCTGTTGAGAATGTTTTATTCTTTTTCTGTGTTTTGACTGTTTTATCTTTTGATTCATAAAAATTAAGAACAAATTCCTTTGCTGTAAATATCACTGTTTTCTAATTATTCTCTTTCTAATCTTTTTTTCCTTTTCACAAATGGATACCAATCACTCCCTGTCGGACCACACAATATCTCTTCCTGAAAAAAAAAAAATAAATGCTGTTGACTGAAATTCCTTTTGATGGACCAAATTTCCTACTTGCTACCTGCTCCTGAATGGTCTCTTCAACCAAATCTGCCTGTCTGACCAATTAAACCTTCCTCCATTGTACACGCCATGCTCTCCAAACCTTCAACCTCCCCTCCTTCTCTTGCTGCTGCCCTCCGGAAGCCACGGAAGAGTCCTGGGCCGAGGGAGGATTCTGTATGCTGGTGAAAAAGAACAATCTCTGCCAGCGGAAAGTGCTTCAGCAATTGTGTTGCAGAACATGTACGCACAAGGGGTGAACTGACACCTCCCGGCATCCTCCTGCTCCTGTAGACTTATAGATTAATCCGTATTATTGAAAAAGGAAAAAAGGAAAAAAAAAAAAGAAAGAAAAAAAAAAAGAAAGCCACCTCTCTCTCTCTCTCCCCCCTCTTTGTCTGGGGAGATGGTGAACTGTTTGTTGGAACTTAAATGGAAAAACTACAACACGCCTACCTTTCATAACTGGGTGTCTAGAGCTGAGCATCCAGGATCACAGAGTCAGTATTGTGTGACCAAAGCATTTGATGCCAAAATTAACATTTAACTCATGATTTGATTTCCTATCAACTTTAGGATTATTCCTGTTTTTTGAAGGTCCTTTTTCTTCCCTTTTTTTCCTGCTTCTTTCCCCTTCGAGATGTTTAGAGAGTGTTTCAAGAATACAACACAAGTTTACATGGATTAAAGCTAAACAATACAAAAATGTTTGCATTAGGTTTTTTTGTGCTATGTGTGTCGACAGGGGGAACTTGAGCTCCTGAGGGGATCAGAAACATCATTAGCAGCAGGACTAAGTTCTGCCCCTTTTGTAACAGTATTTAAAAAAAGAAAAGTTAATATTTCTGCACACATTTCTTTCTTACTTCCTCTGCTGTGTGCTGTTTTTTGTATCACATGCAGTATGTATATATGTTTGCCCAAAATGTGGTTTTGGTCATATAGATTTCATTTTTAGACAGCTAGCTTATTAACAGATATGCTAGGATTTTTATTTTATTTTTTTAAATTGTCAAAGCTATTTCAAATAAACTTTAAAAAAAAAAAAATTGTTCCTGTAGCGAACAAATTCAAAAGATACTACTTCTCTTGGTTTGCATAAGCGAGAGTAATGTATACGCTCGGAAGTCAGAAAAGTTTGCTAACATGTAAGAAGTATTCATAAATTATTGTTGTCTTGTAACGTTCACAAAAAAAGGGGATATTATCATACAGATATGTGGAGCTATTTCATAGTGCTCATATGTAAATGCCAGTGTGACTATATGCGACAGGATGTGTTTACAGGACTGGATTTATAATTGTGCCAAATATGTCTCCGGGAATAAGTACATATAGGGCAATAAATCAATGGTTCTCTTGGTGTAACAATTGTGTCATGATGGGCCTGAATCTGCTTTTAACTGCTCACAGTAGAAA